GAATATATTCTACAAATGCCATGACTGGAAAAATTCAGCAGAGATTGGGAGATATAAGGGTGCTTGGTTTGAGAAACACTGCATTTCAAGTATCCTTTGGATGAAAACAGAGCTGTGGAGCGTGTTACATGGCTCCCTAGCTGGAGTGTTTAGGGGAAAGCTGGACTATAGAGACTGCCTTGGGGTTTCTCAGTCTATAATGGCATTTAAACTAACAAACACATCTAAAGTCACTAGGGGAGAAAGCAAATTTAAAAGGTAATCCAAGAATTCTTCTAGGACAAGTGAAAATTAGGGCTCCTCTAATATAAGAATGAAATCTCTTCAGAAAAGTGGATGTAATCTTGGATGCACATCTTGGGTGTGTCTGCTAAAGGCTGCGCTTTCAGAAAGCCTCTGGGATGTGACAAAACTGGTCACAAGAAGGACAGTTGGAAGTTTTGTGTTATAAGTGCCCATGTCCTCAACAACTCTAAGACTTTGACAAGTACTCATGACAAGGTCTCCATCTTTGGAAAAAGGTCATCTGAAATGAGGTTTAGAGCTTCAGATCTGACTCACAATCTTTACACGCCTTGTGGCCTTGGTTGTGCTGTGGAGCCAGGAAAGGCAGGAGACAGGGAAGTTTGAAGGACTATACCTCCCACAGTCAGCACCCAGAGCAGGTCAATGGAAATAACTAGAGGCTATTTGGTCCATGAACCAAGGAACTTATAATGGATACATCCATGACTTTTAACAGAGGAGAGGATTCAGGAATTCTCCTAATTTTGTGATTACAATATTTAAGATAAAAAAGCAAGCATAGTAAACATTGGTGTGGCTAAACCCCCCTTAGTCTGTGGTCTCACGCTGCAGTCTCAGAGCTGCTACAAAGGCGGACACCCGAGAGCCTGTAAACTTGTCAGCCGCCTCTAACACTGACCTCTGATGCTAAACTGACTGCTAAAATAAAAGGCATGGCCTGTGCCCAGGCACAGCAGGCAAGGAAAGACAGGCACCTCCTGGTCCCAAGTCCCCAGTGGGACACTGCCAAGTCAAGAGCATGGTTTATGCCCCACCATATGGCTCAGCTTCAGGCATGAGCCTAACCTGACCTGACAGCCGCAAAATAGTAGCTTCAGGAAACTGAAGTGCCAGGTTCAGACAGGTATCTATAAAAATGTAAATGACTGCGAGTTAAGCCTGTCAGCTAGACAGACTTGCAACTTAGGTCAAAAAGGTAGCTTACAAACTTTTAATAAAATATCCAATGGTGAAAACCTTATTTAAAATATCCTATGGGAGATCTTGAGCCACTAAGTGAAATTCTTAAAGGGAACAGTGATCCAAGTTCCGTTAGACGGCTTACAGAAGCTGCCAGATAGGTACTCACCCAGGTAGAGTATGCTGTACAGAGACAGTAAGTACATTATAGTATCTATGATCAGCCTTGGCAAGCATGTATAAGACCTACAAAACTTAATTCTACAGCAGTATTAAGACAAAACTGTCCACTATTATGGCTGTATCTTCCCATTTTACCAGCTAAGGTATTAAACTCTTATTTGAAGCAGTCGCTTGGATAGCACAAAAGAGTAGGATGGAATCTAGGAGATATTTTGGCAGAGAACTGGCTATGATCAATGTTCCTTGTACTAAGCAACAGACTGATTGGTTATTTCAAAATAGTGATTTTTGCGCAGTTGCATTAGCTCAATTTGAAGTCCAGATTAACAATTTTTCCCACTGCATCCATTGCTGCATTTCACACAACTATATTCCTTTATTTTTCCTAAAGTTGTAGCAAAAGATCCTTTAAATGATGCCATGTTAATTTTTGCAGGTGGTTCTTCCAATGGAAGAGCCGCATATGTTAATAGAATAAGTTTAAGAAAACAATTTAGATTAACAAGAGAAGCTGCTTGTCAAATGGTTAAGCAATGTGACTGATGTACACCCATAATATTTACCTTTACCCCAACTGGAAATAAATCCCCAAGGACTACTTCCTAATAATTTATGGCAAATGGATGTTACTCATATTACAAAGTTTGGCAAATTAAGACTTGTGCCTGTGACAGTCAATATATATTCAGGATTCTTGATGACCACTGCACAAACTGGGGAAGCCACTAAGCATGTAATAACTCATTACTTAAAATGCTTCTTATTTACAAGGACCTCAAAAATCATAAAGATGGAAATGGGTCCAGATATGCTAGTAAAGCATTTTAACAATTTTGCTCCCAATGGAAGATCAAACGTAAGACAGGCATTCCTTATAACCCTCAACGACAAGGAATCGTAGAACATACCCATGGCACCTTAAAAACACAACTTCAAAAAATAAAACAAAAAGAAATATATCTTCAAACACCACATAATGTCTTGAACCATGCACCTTTTACACTAAACTTCTTGAATATGGATGTTCATGAGCAATCTGCTGTGGACAGATTTTGGCATGATGGCACCAAGACAAGCTTTGCTAAAGCAAGGTGGGGAGACCCTTGCACTGAATTATGGGAAGGACCTGATCCTGCATTAATATGGTGTCGAGGGCATGTCTGTGTTTTTTGACAGGATGAGGATCAAGCGAGAGAGCTTCCAGAATGTCTGGTTTGATGCATACAGCAGAGGAATGCCAGTCCTGATGACATCACAGTCACTGACGACTCCATAAACAAGCAGAGAGAGTTTCCTAAACCTGTGATCCTGATTTCCTCATCCCACCATGCTGCAGGCCGAGGAAACCCCTGAACCAATGCTCCCGACTTACTACAACTTGCTGCAATCTGAGAAGGGAAAGAAGGTTGTGGTGACAACTGTGATTCCCAGCCTCTTGATGTACTTGCTACTCAAACTTCCAGACCTAAGGAGTCCCATTTACCTTAGAGTCAGCCCAAAAATACAGATTGGACATTTAATTGTTTTACACTTTGGGACACAGTACTCATTTTGCCAGTATGATATTCAATCTGCTGTTAAAAAATAAGACCTGACAACTGAGACCTCTGTTTTCCCCTCATAGGAAAAAAGACTCATTACAAGGAGTGACTGAAGCCCCTCTTCAAATATGAGGAGGGTAGCCTGAAAGTTTTTTGCTGCTCAGAGGCTGAGACAATTACTTGAAAGCAGAAATGCAGTTGGATTCTTACCCATCAGAGAAACCTTTTTGTGTTTGGATTTTGATTAAAATGGATTTAAGAGGATTGTGATTTGACAAATTGTGTGTTTAATGTTAATTTCCACTCCAGAATTATGGTATTGACCTGCTACTGTTTGTAACTGCTTTCTTTAGTTCACTATAAGATGTTAAGAAAAGATTGACATTTCTGATGAGTTATTGGATTTGGCATATTTAATAAGAAATTTAGATTTTGATACAGCTAAAAATTATGTTTTTAAAAAAGCTAGTCCAATTAAAAAAAGGCATTCCCAACCCTGGTGATCCTCCACTCCTTTAAATAGGAGATTGTAGCCACAGGAGCTTATACATTCACAAAGCATTATCTAATTGTAGATAAACTCTTGATAGAAACTTGACTCAGAGATACACAGCCCAGAAGTACTTTCTCCCTTAACCCTTTGCTTACAGAAATCAGCAGTCAAAAATGGGTTTGAGCCTTTTCCTCCTAGGCACCTAAAACATGGGTATGTATGATTGAAATGCATGTACCAAAGACAGGTAAGTCTGGGAATGGGAAGGTGTTCCCCTAAGGCAGACACAATCAACTGTCCTGTTGCAAAAGCACAGGCTTTATTAAAATTAACAAAAAGGAAGGAATTATGGAGGCTCAAAAAGGCAAGCCTACGGCTACCTTGTCTGATGATCAAAGAGTTTGGAGGTTGCTCAAAATGGTTGACAAGTGTAGTTACACATCCCGACTCAGGATGTGGTTACTTGGTTCTTTTGACATTAAAATGGCTCATACAAGTAGATCCATTCCATCCTGATAGATGGTCAGAATATGCAAGCATGCTTCTGATACTTCTTTTATAATATGAGGTTACTTGGGGAATGGCACCTTCAAGATACCTGTTTTAGGGTAACGTTACTGCCAAAACCACAGAACATTAATGACTTGATATCAAAATGTTAAAATAATTAACTGTTCAAGCTGTCAATTGTATCATATTAAAGAAGTCTTTTGTTGCCTTCATTTCTTTTTTAGATTGGGGTATAAAAGTATATGGAAAATTAAACACAGACAATTTCAGTATTCACTGGAATGCCTCCCTGGTACTATTCTATAGTTTCTGTTTTATTAATTTTCATGTGTCTTCATATTCTTTATTCATATTTCTAAATCCTCATGCTGCTACCCTGGCAAGAGGTGTTTTTGTCAAGACTGGTCCCTGATACATGTTCCTACAATCACATTCTTCGTAAACACACAAAAAATAAAGTATTTGAAAAGATGATATCTTTTTGGGTATCAAATCCAAGTTTATTTTTAAAACTAAGAAGGCTGAACACAGAACAAGTATTTACCAGTTTTCAGTTGTCAGTTAATTTGATTTTCAGCCTCTCAATCAGTACTTACTGGGGCCGTACTCTACCCTTTATTTGCAGAAAGACATTAGGTTTAGCCCTCAACTCTGGCTCTTGGGAGGAAAGTTTTCTTTATCTATAGGATAAACCCATCAATTACCCATATATCTCAGATAGGATTGTCCATTTCTCCTCACCTTAATTCCATGCACCTAATTGCTAATCCTTCAAAGCTGGTTGTCTACATCATTCCCTGTCAACACTCAAATCATAGTTTCCTTGAGCTCAGATGAGTCAAAGGGAAACAAATTACACAAATGAAAGGCAATAGAGGTGCTTTAGTTGCACCTCATAGAGACAAATCTCATTGTTTAGAGTATCACAAAAACACAGCACCCATCTCTCTTGATCTGGTTGATTATAGGCTGACACACAACATTGACCAGAGGTGATGTCCAATCAGTATCAATGGCATCTCTCACATTGCTACCATCAAGGTGGTATCACAGCAAAGGCTTATATATTAATATTCATCTGAATATGGATAGTCCTGGTGGGCAGAAGTACTGAAATGAGAAAGAAAATGTGTAGAACAAGTTTAGACTATAGAGAGAATGACTCTCCTTCTGGCTGCTATCACAATAAAAGGTTTGTATTTACTTGCCACAATCTTACTGTCACAAAAAGCCTACATAGCAATTGTTTGTTGATAAAAACTAAATTATTTAATTTTAGTTCCCCTTCCTTAAATGTAAAAGAACTTTGATATTCAAATGTACAAACATAATATTTTCCATCACCCATATCATCAGTTTACCAAAGCAATATCTCATCCTCATTCCAGATTTCAGTGCAATTAGAATCTGATGGTGATTTGTGTACAATAATATTTCTATAGATATTTATCTAAATATATATGTATGTGTACATATACATATATACACAGACATGTGTATATATGTGCATGTAAGTATGTATATAAAGTTTAGTGCTGGTTATCCCAAATTCATAATTCAATGAGCTTTAACTCAGTAGTTACCACACATAACACACTATAGTTAATTAGAAATGAAAATGACAAAATTATGAGATACACTTCCATGTCCATGAAACTCATTACATACTTTGTAGGTCTCTAAACTTGAAAAACAAGACAAATATAAAATAATAAAAATAATTTATTCAAAATGACTAATTTGATATTTTTGGATCCTTCTAAAGAAGCTACAATAAAATCCACAATGAATATTCACTATATAGTTGTCAAATATAGTGGCTTATATGTTGATATAAAGTCAGCAATATTGGCTGATCTTCAGACTGTGGAATACTAAGTAGAGAAGCCCATATGTAGCAATACAATCTAACCCTGATTACATTTACCCTGTTAATGTATCAGACAAATCTCTGTAAAGAATTTGGGACCAGAATTCCCAAAACCCCTGTCTCACACTGACCTCATTACCCAATATTAAGACTACTCTTAAAAACCACATTAAATTCAACATCATAAAACAAATTGAGAAATTTTTCCAATACTTACATATTAGCAGTAGAATATCGGTATTTTTTGTTCAGGTTATCAATAACTGTCATGTCCTCTTCTGGCAACTGGAACTCAAAAACCTGTCACATAAGTAGACAGATTTTAGAATGACCACATCTTTGACAATCTGAAAAACACAAGCTAATCAGACTAAAAGATGTGGGGATAAGAGCTTCCAAAGGACTTTTAAGAGAATAGCAACAAAAAGTATTCAAGTTATTAAGCAAATGAATCTCAGCCTTTTGCTAAGATCAAATGAAACTATTAATGAATACCAAATGAAAGACGAATTCAAATATATTACTATATACAATCTATTTAAATTTCACTGGACTACAGGCAATATCAGACCTCAAAAGAGACTAGAAAAGAAACCAAAGTGACAAATGAAAAGATTACAGAATCAGTTGCATGCAGATCTGGAGGAACCTAATGATCGTGTTTTTTTTTTTTTTTTGTTTTGTTTTGATTTTGTTTTGGTTTTTTTGTTTGTTTTGTTTTGTTTTTTGTTTTTTGAGATAGGGTTTCTCTGTAGCTTTGGAACCTGTCCTTAAATTCACTCTGTAGACCAGGCTGGCCTTGCTTTGAACTCACAGAGATCTGCCTGCCTCTGCTTCCTGAGTGCTGGGATTAAAAGAATACACCACCATTGCCCAGCATGATCACTTTAAAATATATGAGTTAGTAACAATTATCATGAATACAGTAGGCTGTGTACATCCAATCAATGAATAGCTAAAATATATTAAAAAATGACACTTTCTCATATAATCAGAAATTTCTCAAATACAGATGATATTTTGCTTAAGGGATCCAAAAGCAGGCTCAAAAAGGATGTCACTATTGAAATTTGCAACACTGAAAGCAGCAAAATGATTTTCAGTTATTAATAAACCATCAACATGAGAGGTTCCTTAAATATGCATTTTTATAAATAGAGGAAGGAAGAAACAGAAAAAGTGTCCAAAATGTATTAGTTGATAAAACTAGGTAACAGGTATCAATTTATGATTTTTAATTAACTTCTATAAATTTGAACATTATCAAAGCAAAATGAACATTATCAATAATTGATCTAAATTATTAAGTTCAAACTGACAGAATACTTATGAAGGCTTTAATGGACAGAGTAAAAATTTACTTAATAATATTAAAAGAAGATCTAAAATTCAGAAATGTATACCTAAATCATATTTTAAAAAAAGCTTGCAATGTAAAAAAGAAAATAGATCATGTTTCAATGCATGAGCCAGCATTGAGAAAATGTGATGCCAAGTTTTATCTGACCAGATGCAGTCAATAAGAGCAAACGCGTTTAAGCAAAAAGCATAAAAATCATAATAAAGCAAGCTTGATGGCATAGCTCAATGTTAGAGAAATTGCCTATCATGTGTGGGCTCTAGGTTCAATCTCTAAGACTAAAATTGAAAGAAATAAATTAAACAGCAATTTTCTAATACAATGATCACAAAAGAGAAAAGCAAACACAACAGTTAAAAGAGGGGTCAATTTTGTTGCTAGAAATGTGTAAGTGCCATTTTACAAAAAGTAAATATTTTTACATCATTCCCAATTTTACATAGCACTCAAAAACTTGCTTTACAATAAAGACCAGTTGGGAAAAAAATATCACCCATAAAGAATGTAAAAAAATTCATTTTGCTACGCATATAGGAAAGAATAATATTCATTGACCACAAAGTAAAGACATGAATGGTGTGAGCCCAGTAAGGAAGAGATTCTAGCACATAAATATATATCATAAAACTAATGAAAACAGGGATGAACTATGAGGAAGATACTTCAACAAACAATTCTCAATCTGAAAAGCAAACATTGAGAATATATAAATGTGGTAAATGGGCTGTAAAGTGTCCCTTCCCCCAACTCTTCTAATTTCTGAGGATACACACTTTTGTGATATGAACATGCAAGTTTTTTTTTTCCCAGTATAGGATCATGTCTCTCTCCCATCCCTTGAGGTTTGCTGAGCCTGTAACTTATAATGACCCATGACCCACAGAGCGTAAAAACATTGATAATGTGGCAGTGTTAAGCTTAGAAATGAAAGGAGTTTTCGAGTATCCGGTCCTAGCTGAATGTGGAGTGCACCTGTAACCCTGGCTCTTGAGAGGCTAAGAGCAGAAGACAGTGAGTCTGAGATGAGCCTAGATTGCAGAGAGACTGCCTGAAAAAAGACAGGACAAGAAAGAACAATAGCATTAATTTCTTTGTTGTAAACTTGTACATTGCAACTGGCTTACTGGACAACTATTACAGGTAACAGTACTTTCCTAGTTGAAAATAAAGACAATCAACCCACAAAGTGAATCAATATATGAAGACTATTCTTTATGAGCATCAATATAAATTAAAAATTTGTATAAAATAAATTTTTAATGAAGGTTGAAAATCACATAGTCTGGTTACCTCACTTCAGGGAATGAATGACAGGTGTTCATGTGTCCAAGACTACAGAGCATATTGTTATCTTAAAGAGGAAACAAAGTCAATTTTAATCCTCTACAGCATGAACCCAGAGTGCTATTGTAGAGAAGAAAACGCTCACGCATACACTTGAAACACACGTGCCTAGGGAATGCCAGGCACAGTCACCTGATACAAGAATACTGGAAGCTTGCAAATAAGCCTTCGAGGGAGAAACACTGTGCAGGAGCCCTGATGCCCATAGTCTTTTCTTCACCTTCATATTCTCTTTGATCCGCTTCTCATTGAAACTCTTGGCAACAACCACAGTCTCACGCTGCAGTAGATAACGGAGGGAAATTAGGACTGGAGTTTTTTTGTACTTCTCAGCCATAGCACCAAGAATTGGATCTTCCAAGAGATATGGGGCATTCTCATCTACCCTGAAAAGAAAGGAATGTTGACTACTTGAGATTAAGATTTGATGTGTTACAAATCTTACACAACACATGGATTTGCTTACGCTGGACCTAGGACTATTAAAATTTGACTCCAAAACCAGAATACTAGCATCATCTGCAACATTTTCAGAACTGTATATTGATGTTACTTAGATATGGAAATAACCAGGCTAGCTTAAAGATAGACAGATATATTTTATTTATTATAAGGGGAAAACTCACGCCACAGAAATGGAAGATCCAGGCTCTGCTGGACCACAGGGGAAGCTACACAAAGAGCGCACCTTGGTGGTGTATAGGTTTTTATCTCCAGGTACCACAAAGCCACAGCTAAACTAGGTTCCACATCTTACAGATTATTGGTTAACAAGGTTTTCCCAATCAACTGTAGATTGTCCTCCCCATTCTCAAGCCTGTTGAGTAAATTCCAGAAAACTTGGGATTTCAAGACTGAAACTATTTTGTATGTGCTTTTTAGGTACGATTTAGTTACAATTCTCATTACCAGTTCTTATATCGTTGGGTTCCTAGAGCACCATAAGCAACCAGAACAATGTCGTTTGACTTGCAGTAATCCAAGAGCTTGCTCTGGTTGAGATATGGATGGCATTCTACCTGTAGATGAACAAGACAGAAAGATTTCAGGTTATAGAGAACCTCAAATATCCATGAAAAAGAAGTGTTCATAAGTAAAAGAAGTGGAAAAGTCTACACTATGTAAAATCTGAGTAGAAAAATTTCAACTTCAAGTAATGATCCTCTTTTAAAAACCAAAAACATCCCTGAGATGAACTGACTGGACCACTAAATGCAGAGACAGTAAGAAAATATGAAGTACAGATAGGGCATGGAGAATAAGCTCACCAAGCCTCGGATTTGAATTACACCATAAAGCAAGAATTTGACTGAAAACATTTGAGGGTAGGTATAAAGGACAAAAGAGTAAATTTGTAGGGATTCTGCTGGTGACATTTGGGTATATTTGGACATCAAAGCAATGAGGGGTTGGCAAGGGGATTAAAGAGCTTGCCATGCATGCCTGGTGACCTAAGTTCTATTACAGAACCCACATAAAGTTGGAAGGAGAGAGCCAACTCCACAAGGTTGTCCTCTGACCTCCACACAGACACCATTGCATTCACGCCTGCCTACCCACAAAGTCACACACGGACATACACATGGACACACAGAGAGATACAGAGACAGAGACAGACAAACAACATTCATATACATACACACAAAAAATACATTTTTAATTGTGTTTTAAAAATCCCCAGAGAACCGAATGATAATGGTACATGCCTTATAACCCCAAAATTTGGGAGGCAGAAGCAGGTAGACCTCTGTGAGTTTGAGGCCAGTCTGGTCTACAGAGTGAGTTCCAGGACAGCCAGGGGTACACAAAGAAACTCTATCCCAAAAAAACAAATGCACGCGCGCGCACACACACACACACACACACACACACACACACACAAAGAAAAAAAAAAACTCCCAAGGGAAGATCATACAAATCGTTTATACAATGTCACATGGTCATCCTTGAAGCAAGATATACTTTATGTGTTCAGGAATGTATGTGTAAACATATATAATAGTTACAAAGTAACAAATACATACACACAGACATACAACACAGATATCTGTCCCTAATGTGCTACTACCAAAGTAAAAATTCCCTCAGGTCATTGACAACTAAGGAAAAATAACAAAGCTTACCCCATTACTTAGGGATAGCTGTGATTCATCGTCACTTATTAATCAAAATTTTATTTATAGTAGAATTCAATGAAGAAAAAAACCAAACAAGTATCTTAAAATAAAAACAATTAACCTCTCAAACACCCCAGTAAAACAGATAATTCAGGCAAAAATATACAAAGAGATGTATGAAATAGGTTTCAATTATGGGAAACCTGTGTTAAAACATGACTCAGGATAGTAATAATTGAAGCAAAAAAAAATCTCTTTTTAAAAAATGTCTCCAAATAACAAGAAGAGCAGAGGGACCAATTTATTAAAATTATAGAAGATAGAAAGGAAGTTACAACAGACACAATGAAATCCAGAGGATGGTTACAGCATAATTTGAGAACTTACATTCTAAAAAGCTGGAAAATCTAGAAGTAAGCAAATCCCTAGACTCATATGTCTTACCAAAGTAAGTGAAAATATGTAAAAAACTTGACAAAGTCAATAATAGCAATCCAACTAATGTAAACAAGTAGAAATCCAGGCCCAGAAGAGTCAGTACTGAATTCTACCACACTTTTAAAGAGAAATTTTCACGTTAGCATTTGTGAACTTGACACAGTCAGAGTTATCTAGAAATAAGAGTATCAGTTGAGAAAATGCCTCTATTGGTTGCCTGTAGGCAAATCCACATGCCATTTTCCTGATTAATAATTGATGTCACTAGAAGACACCACCACGGGGCAGGTGGTACTGAAGTGTAATAAGAAAGCAGGATGAGCAAGTCGTGGGAGCAAGTCAGTAAGCAGTCTTCCTTATGGTCTCAGCCTAAATTCCTGACTCCAGGTTTCTGCTTGCAAGAACCTTCCCTGACCTCCCTCAGTGAAGGACTATAAGTTGCACAATGAAATAAACACGTTACTCTCCAAGTTTCTTTTGGTCATGGTCTTTTATCAGAGCAATAGAAAGCAACCAAGACAAGGGATTGACACCAAACTGTTCAACCAAGACAAGGGACTGACACCAAGCCATGTGTCATGACATGGCTCCTAAAACTGTTCTGTAAACTAGAAAGAGAAGGAACATTATAAAACTTACCCTACAAAGTCAGAAATAACCTCCTGTAGAGAAAGTCAGATCCCCTAGAAATGGACTTATGAGCTGCCATTTGGGTGCTGGGAAATGAACCTCTTTCAGAGAAGCCATCGCTCTTAACGACCAAGCCATTGCTCTACCCCCTTCATGGTTCTTTCATTCTTGCAGTCTTTAGTCATCTTCTGTATTACCAAGTGCAACTCTCCTTGAGTACTTTCATATTTCCATATTCTTGCGTGCACAGAAGCACTGTGGCTTCCAGGCTTTTCCACAAACACTTAACTATCAGAAATATAATCAGCATTCTCTGCTCCATGAAGTTCAGGTAAATAAGAGAAGAGGATTGTGGCTTCTAATAAAAGAAGAAAAGAATGAAGAGCAGAAGAAAAAATACTGTGGATGCTCACCTGGTTGCACACAGGCTTGTGCTTGAGCCCTGGCTTGTTCAGGATCATCTCCAGCTGCCTGCGGTTAAAGTTGGACACCCCAATGGACTTGGCCAGCCCTGCATCCTTACACTTCTCCATGGCCTGAGTCAGGGGGGAAGTTGGTAAAAATGATTTATGAAAGTGGCTGGAGATGTTTATAAATACCAGGAAAGGAAAATAAAGCATATGCACTGATTATTAAGAAGAGAGAAACCAGCTTAAAATATGGGCAGAAGATAAAGACAGAATGAATGCCTTAGGTCACCTAAGAAATCATATATTGAAACATATTTATCCCAAACCTTTCCCAGTAGTCTCCAATATATTCCAATTATGCTGTCCTACCTGCAACTGCAAAATAACCTTAGCAAAGATCATGTGTTTCTTGATCTGAAGGCCCACATCTGACTCTCACATGTGAAATTGAGACCTGACTCCCTCTCTTAACTTCCCCTGTGCTCTGTATTCCAAGTACTTACCTCCCAAGTGTCATGGAGATCCACTGTATCAAATAATATTTTCCCATTTTCAACTGTTGGATTAAGATTGTTGTCAGGCTAGAATATAAACAGTCATTGTCACCATTCCACCAGTGTCATGACTTTCCCCATTGTAATGTTCCTTGACAAAAGGCAAATTAAAAAAAAGATCAGTGGTCTTGAGGACACATATCTACAACCCTAGAATATGGAGGCAAGAGGGTGTGGACTCATTGTTAGCCTTGGTAACACAGCAGGTTCAAAGCCAGCCCCATTTTTTTTTAAAAAAATCAAAACTAAAGAGATTAAGATAAAAATAAAAATATTAAATAAAAAAGAGTCACAGTTTGAAGTGAGGATTGATACAAGCATGTTTATTTTCAAGATGAATTTTTCACTGGAAAATGCAGATAAGGCATTCAAAATAAACAACCATAATCAAACTATATTTACTACCAACGGGAAAAGATAGAACAAAGGAAAACCCTATAAACAGAATTTCTAAAGACTTTTCCAAATTCATCAATCTAGTGTGATTTGGGTTCCAAATTTTTCCACATGAATTTTCCTGATATATTCATTTAATTTTTTTATCAGTTTATCTAAACAAATCATCAGCGAGATTAAAGTTCATGCTGAGCACTGAAGTAAAATAGGTATGAAGATGCTGACTGCCTACCTTCATTGGCACTGGGAAATGAATAAGATAGAGGTCAACATAGTCCAGCTGAAGCTTTTTCAGTGACTTTTCCAAACAAAACCGGACCAGTTCTGGCCTATGGCACGTGGAGGGGAGCTGCAATTATCAGAGTGAGAGCTGTGATACATTAACACATTGCCCAAATTTGTGAATTTCTTTTACCCAAAATTGAGATTTTTTTCAACTGGTCAAAAATTGGTGACCACAGAGCAAAAATACTCTGTCCAGACTTAAGTTTTCCATTGTCTAATATATTAATGTCAAGTCTGATACATACCTGAGGTGTATTGGTCAATTGATAGGAAAATGGTAGGAAATTAATACTTGTGTAAAATTGGATAAAATAATAATAACAACCATTCTCTGAGTTATATTTCACAAGAGTTTACAAAGGAGGTTTCTCTCTTATCCTTTCATTCATTTAGCCAACAGGAAAAAGTTAACATTCCTATTATTTACATAAATGAAAGGAAGTATTCTTGATATTTTATCATATAATAGACACAATACAAGACTCTAGCAATGTTTCATGAGATACTCAGGACACAAATTTTTATTCTTCTCATCACCAATGAAAGTGAAAATGGATATTAAGAAACTTAAGTAACATTAGTCACCCAAGAAATAAGATATGAGATTGTTCTAAGATGCCAGTCTTATCATAGTTCTGTCCATGTTAAATCACACTGTTTTTAGGTGAGAATCAAAATAACAAAATAATTTTACCCTAAGGTTACAAATTCAAATATAGTGGTGAGCAAAGATCCATTAGCTGCCTCTGTTTTCAACACCAGTTTATCATATGTAATTATGTGGTCAAATCATACAATCATCAACACACCAATTTCATTCATTTGCATACCAGCATACCATATGTGTGCAATACCTTTGAAGTATAGAATATATCTTCTCACTTCACAGTACCATAAGCAATCTTGTCACGGATGGCCAGTCCTACTTCTTCCTCATTTTGGTACATATAGGCTGCATCAATATGGCGAAATCCAGCATCTATAGCTATTTTGGTGGCCTCTGTAATCATACTCTTAGGAACCTAGAAAAGCAACCAGAGGGAGTATCTTGAGATCCGTGTGATTGAATTAATTCTGAAACAGCTAGTTACTTTACAAAACCACAAGTTTCTGCTGTGTTAAGTGAGTTCTGTCTTGGGGGTGTTGAATTTTCCCAGGTTTGCCTGGCCCTCTTGCTCTCACATAATGAGAATTCGGCATCTGAGCCAAGTCTTCAGACTGAGACACTCATGAATCACTGCCATCCAAGGCCTTCAGGGACTCCTCCAGGTTCACTGATTTGCTGGGAGGATCCCCGGGACTCAGTATACAGCTGTAACAGTGGTTGTTATTTATAGAATAAGGTTATAAAGTAAAACAACCCCAATACAACGTGCATGGCAAGAGAAATAGTATTGAAAGTTTCCCCTGGAGAAATCACGCAAACACATAAATTCCCCTCACGTTGCACTAATAGTATACATGTATGCATTGTTTCCAGGAAATCTGTTGAGAGCCTCAATTCCTAATTATTTAGCTGAGGGTTTATATAGGCATTCTCTGAAGTCACTCTAAAATGTACTCTTCCAAGCAAATCAGACCTTTACAAACTCTGTTCTTTATGCAAACAGTTAAAAATATGGCCATTCTTCTCTATTATGAAATGGTGATAAATAAGGTTGCCAGCTGTCAATCAGTATCTAGTTTAAAAATAAACACTGTAACACATAGCAGGATGCTGTCTTAACTCATCTTCCAACCATTCTAGCTGTATGATTGAAGTAAATCTAGCATTAAAATGTATTAGGCCAGGATATAGATTTAAACATAAGAATTACTTTTATGATATATAAACGGAACTATTTAAGTAACTTTGCTTGATGCTCAGAGGAGACTTTGAATTTGGGTCTTTGCTGGGGCTGTTGATATTTGAGGGTCTCTTTAAAATGGAATAAATGAACTTGTGTTATTAGGTAGAGATAATCTTTTTGGAGCCAGGCACAGAATGTTATAGTTTTAATCTTAATTGTCCCCTGATGGATCAAGTGATTGAAACCTGAGGACTTTAACCTCACTAGAAGGTCAGTCCTTAGTTAATTTATGATTTGATTATATCATTGGGAAATGGTAGAAATGAGAAGGGATGGTGCGGGAGAATTATCTGTATTCTGTCAATCATATTTTAATAAAACGCTGATTGGCCAGGCAGGCAGTATAGGTGGGAAAGCCAGACAGGAAGTAGGGGTGGAGCAAAGAGACTGGGAGTATTCTGGAAGCAGAAGCTCTCTCTCAGCGATTCCTGTACAGACCACCGAAGAGACAGCATGTAACTTGCCCAGCAGAGAAAGGTACGGAGTCATTATGGCTAACATAGATGAGAATAATGGGTTAATATAAGTTATAAGAGTTAACAAGAAGCCTGGTCTAATGAGCCAATCAGTTTATAACCTTATGGAGTCTTGTGTGTGATTTTCTTTGTTGCTTGCCGGCTGTTGGGGTACTAGGAGGGACAGAAACCCCAACAAGCCGGCCCCACATGTTACAAAGGGATGGCTCATTGTTAGTATAATGAAGAGGGTGGCTAACATTAGACACGGCATGGGGTTGAAGTATTTTGACCAATGTATATCACATGCACCAATCAAATTAGTGCAAATGCCATTTCTCTTTTCTTCATATTACATTTAGGATCTTTGAGTTACTCTCCTCCACATATTAACAAAATAAAAGTAGACCTGGTGGCACAGGTTGAGGCAGGAGGTTTCTGAGTTCAAGGACTGAGTAAGTAACACAGTGCAATCTTATCTCAAAATGTAAGTCTTTTTGTTAAGCCTGGTGATATATATAACTTCTTTCAATGATAGAATATTTACATAGTATGCTCCAGGGCTTAGGTTCAATCCCCTTTACTGAAATATATATCACTGTAAGATATAGTCAACATTCTATTGATAAGCCACAATTTAATCCTTATCTGTGCTTTGGTACCTATGTTCAACCTAATAATCACTATTCTACATTTCAGTCAAAAATGAAGCTGTCATAAAAGTGATATTTGTATCTGGTTTCTGTGTTGCATTTATTTTTAAAATGTCCTCTAATTCATGCAGTTTATAAAAATGTCAAGAATTAATTTTTCGTGGATTCTCAATGCTTTGTGTGTGTGTGTGTGTGTGTGTGTGTGTGCATGCAACATAATAATTCATTGTTTGATGAGCACCTAAGTTAAAATCATATTTGTTACTAATGGGACTTCATCTGTCACTCCAGTATACTGACTTTGTTTCCTTTGTACAGGTGAAGGAGTTTATGGGTAGAACATATAAAAATTTTAATTTTAGGAATTTATATATTGTCTTCTTTAGTATTTGTACTGATTTACATTCCCATTAGCATGTATGAGAGTTCTGCTCTTTCAGCATTCCATCAGTGTTTGTTTTCTGATGCCCCTTTTTAACAGACAATCTAAGACAATCTTTCCATTATCTCATTGTAATGTTAAATTTCAAAACATGCTACCGAGCCATAATAACCAAAGCAACATTGCATTATCCTGAAACAATGACATCAAAGGAAGAAAGCAGAGAGCAAGCCTTCAAATCATTAGTATAGGTAACATCTTTTATACATGTCCTCAATGTAAAGAACATAGAAACGAAAATACATAAATAAAATTATGTATACTTATGAAACACTTTTTACTTTTTTGAGTAAAAGATTAAAGTATATAATTTGTTAATTTTTTAACTGTGAGATTATAATATAGCTTCTACATTTGTCCCTGCATTTTCCTCTCCACAAACCTTCCCATGTATCCCTCCCTGCTCTCTTTCATATTGATGCTTCTTTCTTCATTAATTGTCATTACATGAATATATTTATATATATAAATTCTTAAATACAACATGGTCAGTCTGTATAGTGTTAATTATACATGTATTTTCAGGGCTGACCACTGAGTTTTGGATGACCAATCACAGTCTTCTTCCCTGGAGAAGACTATTTCTCCACTCTCAGTATTCCTGACTAGCATGTAGATCTTTGTGTAGGGAATGTTTGCAGCAAGGGAATAACAGAATGAAGAAATTTCCTGCAGATAAGAAGGAAATCATTGCTAAATGTCTTTCTATGCATGTTCACTTTGGTGGCTTAATTTGGATTCCTTTTAAGCAACAACAACAACAAAAAAAATCTGGGTGTGTCGTGTTGGCATTTACAGAGGTAATTAGATCAAGAGGACTCTGACCAGATCAGTAGATTAATCTCTTCATTTCATTTCCGTGTTGGGGAGTGACAGAAAGTAGGGGTGTGGTTTAATTGGAGGAAGTAGGGGCCTGGGACTGCGTGCTTGGAATGCATCTTGCCCTAAGCTCCTTCCTTCACTTCTCTTCCACCAAGAACAGAAGAGCAGCTGCCTCCACATAGCCCACCAGCACCATCACCACCACCTTGATGTTCTGCTCAGACAAAGCTGACCAAGCAACAACAAATTGGAGCTTGGGACCATAATCTAAATCCAAAAATGAAAGAAAAACCACCCACCAATCTCTTCTTTGGGTTCTGTGAGGTATTCTGACCACAGCAATGCAAAAATAATAAATTATCTGGAAAATTATTACTATTCGGGGTACATAAAAAAAACTCAGAAAACTTTGTAACAGAATTCAATAAATAGAGAGGATGTGATCTGAATATACATTTCTCAAAAAATTCTGAAAATATTTGAGATAAAGAAACTTAGTGTCATGTACAAGCCTTTATCCAGACTTCATGCATTAAGGGTTGTTATTTTCTCTATTGGACCCAGCTGGAAACAGGCTTGTTTCAGTCTTGAAACTGAACGTGAAGACAGAGCTAAGAATTATAGTCCTTATCTTCATGGTCAAACTCTCAGCTCCCATTAGACCTGTCTGCTTTCTTCTGAACTCCAAAACCACCATCCTTACCTCTTCTGGATCATAAGTTCCAAAGCCAAGAACAGGAATGTGGTGGCCATCATTTAGCTCTGCACAGAGTTTAGGATTCATTTTGAAATGCTCTGCTTCTGTTTTCCCTGCTATTACTGGGTGCTGAGTAACAGGAAGATATACTGCAAATGTGGGGTGTAAGTTTAATCATTACTCATTTTCTGTCCAACCCTTAAACAGCAGGGTATTGGAAGGGAGGTAACACAGCTCACAAGCCCCTGAAAACTGGTAACAGCTCAATGATTTCATAGGAAGAAGAATTCTAGAGTAAAGTACCATATGCTGATACATTATTTAGTCTTTATAAATTTTTCTCAGTATAGTCTCCCACAAACTGTCCTAAAACAGAAGATTAATTGAACAACCATTGGCCATTTGTTACTTTGAAAACCTCTTTACCTCTATTCCCTTATTTGGACTCATGTTTTTCTGGCCATGATGAAGCCTCTTCTTAGTTATACATGATAAAAAGAGTAAGCTATCACACACCACACACACACAGTCACATTCAGAGAATTAAAGAAATGGGGGTGGGTAGGTATATGGCTCAGTGACTAGGATCACTTGCTCTACAAGATGAGGACCCCAACTCAGATTCCAGCACCTACATAAAAGTTTGGGTGTGGCTGTGTATACCTATATTCCTAGAGCTACCAGGTAGGGACAAAGGAGGCTCACTGGGATGCTGGCCAGTCGGTCTGGTTCCAGGTCCAGCAAGAAACTGTCTCAAACAAGTAAGCAGAGAGTAACAGAACTGTATACTCACAATTCTCCTCTGGTCCACACATGTTCATACACCACACATGCATATAGTACTGCATATGAATAAACCTACACACAACACACACACGCATATACATTCAAGTAATGTACATATAACACATCTACACATATGTGCACACACACCATCACACACATCAAAAACATACACACATAGACAAAACACATATACTCAAATACACATACATCACATTTGTTCACAAATGTATACAATCACTGTCAGTCACTGAGACACACACTTAACAGTTATCTATTTCACACACATTAACACCTAGTCCCACAAACACACTCAAACACACATGGTAGCATACTGGCATGCTCACACTCACACACTTATAATCACAAAAATTCATTCATATAAACACACACTTTACAATGCCTACTTAGAGAACAATAGTCACACACTGAAATACTAAAGCACATCACAAATACATACACTTCACAACTAACACACAGAGAGCACACATACCCACATATGGCAATGCAATCCTACAAAATGACTCACCTTCTCATATACTCTCATTCACTTACTCACTAAATCTCTCTCTCTCTCTCTCTCTCTCTCTCTCTCTCTCTCTCTCTCTCTTACACACATACACACACACACACACACACACATACACACACTAAAATCACACTACACGCATATCGGATTCTAGGGAATGAACTCCAGGCTGGTATGACAAGAACCCTTGCACACTCAACCATCTTGTCAGTCCATATGTTAACTATATATTCGCTCCTCTCAGTCTACATTTCTGCCAGGGAGAAGCTGATATCACCTTTCACTGTTAGTGCAGAAACTCAAGCTTCCCTAGGAGGTTAATTCATACTTAAAATGTACTTCAGGTAACGACCCGCGTGTTTACTGCTTGTGACTAATTCACAAGGAAAACCTAAACACTATACTAAGGGACCCTCTTGCTCTGTGGTTTCTACTAAGCCTCCATCCATCGAGGTCTGAATTCAACAGCGGTAATCATTGGGCCCTATTTCCTTTTCTCATTCTTCCATTTTCATTAGATTCAGACCATCATTCAAACGAAAGGTCATCATATCCCACTCTCTCTCTACAGATTTACTGGGGGGGTAAGGTCCCCTGCCATTTTCGCCTATTGTCCTGCATTCATAGCACCTATATAGGACCAGTGTGCACAACAGGAAATTGCTTTGCATACAGGGATTGTTTTAAATAAAAACAAAGCCCCTTCTGCTCTGTAGTAAAACTAGATATTTCCAGGCCTTAAGACCTTGCAGAGCAGGTCTGACAACTGTTCTACAGGAAGGAGGTCAGAGAAGGTAGGAACTATTAACTGTTTGAAGTACAGGAGTATGGTATTACTTGAGACTCAAGTAATCAGTCTCTCATCTGCTCTCCTTCCTTCCTGTTCCTGCTTTCCTATCTCCTCCTTTGTCCCTTCCCTGGGTCCTTTTGTTCCCCTCTCCCATAAGACTCAAAATTCCTTAAGTCTCTTAAGATGAGCATCTGTTTTTCAACAAAGTTCTGTACAAAGACAGAACTGAATCCTTGACAACTCTGTCAAGCCTCACAGACCAAGAAAAAAACAGACCATCTCTTGACACTGAGGAGGCCATAGGGCTTTTTGTTTTCCAGCATGTTCTAATCTGTACTGCATGCATGACCTCACTTAATTCTGCCCTGCCCTGCCCTGATTACATGCTCGTGATTTGGTTGGATTCTTCTACACCCAAATCTTGTTTACTTGTGAAGAAATTAAAACAAAAGGACAAAAGACTTGTAAAGTTAGCCCAAGTAGTCTGAGTTCAGACGACTGCCAACTTTATCATAATCCAATCTGCTGATGCTTGACTTGTATACCAGCGACCCTGAACATTAATATCTTTCCTTGTCTTCCCTTCATTTCTTTTCACTTACTGTGGCCTCTCCAGTGAACCTTTTATGCCTGTTTTTCCTATTCTTTGGCCAAGAATAATTTCCTCATAGCTGAAGCTCACCCTCAGTTACTGGTTCTGTGACTCCTTCAAGATGGAGAAGCCACCATATGTGGGATCGAACTTGGTAGCCATTCCCTGGTTAGTCATTACAGAAAATGCTACATATAAAGAGACAACTGATTAGAACTTTGAGTCTGAGCACTATTCATCATATTCTGTATCTGTCCTATTAGAACTGCCTCCAGAGATATTGAAGGTCACCTATCTTGTGTTCAGCCCTTCCTTCCATATATCTGGGTCCCATAAATGCAGAAGTGGGTCTCGGGATGTGTCTAAGTTAGTACTGTTCTCACATATTCAAAGTCCTGTGTTTGATCACTAGAGAAATAGATATACTAATTCATGCCTATAATCCTAGCATGCAGAAAACAGAAGTTCAAAGTAAACCTTGGCTACTCAGAAAATGTAGAAGACACTCTAGGCAATATGAGATGCTACCTCAAAAAAAAAGTTTAGATAAAAATTAAAGACAGAAGTCACCAAGTTTATTGTGGTTTCTTCCTTTTCTCTTCCCTTTAGCACAGAATTCTTTCCTTATCACAACCCAGGGTATTTCACAGAGTTCTTTGTTCTGAGCTCAGCCTTTAACCTGTGTACACAGCTAGAAACAACATGGCATTTGAGGTGACAGTACCTGATAGCCACAGGCATAAACTAACTTCATAACAAAGTTTTCTAAATTGGAGACAAGTGCAGAGTGTACCCTGTATTCAATTCCAGACTTCCTTGAGGAGTCTTCAGATTGGCTATGCACACAACACCCTCCCCCTAATTCGTGAGCTGTTTCCTATACCAGTTCCAGCCTGCACTTGAGACAAATCCAGAAAACAGCTTATAGTAGCCAAATGTTTCTTTTTTGTCCCCGATCCTGCACATGAGCCCAGAAGTCCAAGCCTTTTGTTCTCATAATGGTCGCATAAGTTGGTGCTGATCTGGACAAGTTACCACCTACACTGGCACTTTCAATGACGCTTGCGGATGTCAAAGTCTCAGAGTTTATTCTACAAATACACACAAATACCTGTCAATTGAAACATATTTAAAAGAAAATAGGTAATAAATGTCATAGCTGAGTTGACTGTAGCTATTTTGTTATTTAATATTTAAGAAGTCACTTTTAAGGACTTTGAATACTTCATGATTTGGAGTTCTTTCTATTTCTTTATTCTTTAGTTCAGTCATATGTTTGTTATACAGCCCAGAGTAGCCTCAAACTCACTGCAGAGCTCAGGCTGACCTCAAACTCACCCTCGTTTACTGCTTAGCCTCCTGAGTGCTAAAATGCCTAACACTCACTCTTTTCAAGACAATATTTATTTATTTTATCATAAGGAATTGAATTGCATTCTTCCAAGTACACTATCCACTCAACTTCTGTGACCCTTATCCTGAATTTATTTCATTCTCAATATTTCATTGTGAACAAGTTTAGGCAGGAACTAACATGAGTTTTTTGGTTGGGGCTGGCCTTGCTGGTTTTGCTTCTCTGTCTTGAGAACTGATACAGAGAAAACCAAAGAAAGTACTATTTCCCAGGGGCGATATAGGTTTTACTTCAGAAGTTGTAGTTCAAGCTCATGTTTTCTCTTTCTCTTTCTCTTTAGCATGGTAGAAATGAGAAATTTTACAAACTAACAGATTGTGTGATGGCCACTCTTGTTGTCAGCTTGACCATATGTGGAATAAACTACAAAACAGAAATGGAAGGCACACGTCTGAGAGATTTTCTGCTTGGTTTTAAGTGGGTGACTCCATTTCTAGTCTAGACTTCTGATGTAGGAGGACACACACGTTTAATCTGGATCTTGAGGTAAAAAGACATTTCCTTAATGTGGTCCACATGTTCTGGGCTTTTCGTTCACAACTAGTTGTTGTTGGATTAGCTAGACTGTAGCCTGTAAGTCATTTCAATAATCTCTCTCTCTCTCTCTCTCTCTCTCTCTCTCTCTCTCTCTCTCTC